TACTCTTCCTCCTCGATCGGCGGAACCGCTGTCTGACGAGACACGACCGGCCAACCCCTGAGCTTCGGCTTCGGCGAGGCCGCGACGAAGCGAGAACGAGCCGAAGGTGGGGCCTCAAGAGCGACCTCTGGTGCGCGGCTTCTGGGGTGCGCGAAAAGGCCAAACCCGAGCGCGCAGGGCGCTGCCATCGCATCGCACTCCACCGTCTGAGCGACGAACTGCAACGGGTCGTATGCGAGACGACGTAGCCCTGGAGGTCGGAGAAGGGCGTGACACAAAGCGGTGTGGTGCCAATCGTGGAAGCGGCAATGCTGTCTACGATAGAAAACCTCGCCATATCCGGCGTTGGCACCACACCCCTTTACACGGCGGTGGACAGACCTCCCTTTAGTAAACCTCCCCTTAGTGAAAACGACCTGGGACCGAAACCGACGGACCTGGACCCGCAAACATGACGGCCGCGACGCCCTCTCGCGAACCGAAAACGGCCAGTTCCTCCATCGACGTGTCAGGGTTGGAGGTCTATCCACCTCCGATTTACAGCACACCCCTGTCCTGCCCCCAGAATAGCGAGCCCACGCGGTGGCGTACGCGGGCCGCCAGCACGACACGCCCGTGGAGAAGTGGGCGCGCACGTGCGACCTTTTACGCGGGCAGCTTTACGCGCCAACGCCGGCGCAGACGACAGGCGTTTTCCTGCGTCGCTCCTCTGGGAACCCAAGTGCGCACGCACCGAAGGGTCGCTCCAGCGAAAGGTCCCTCTCATCGGCGGCCAGCCCGGGGGGGGGGAAGTATGAGGGGGCGGGCCCTTGCAGAAGGCTCGCAAGTCCTCCGGGCTTACGACAAGCGCTTTCAGCCTTCCCTGAGGACGCAGAACACTTGGTCAAAGGCTGGAGGGCTTCTGAGAAGCCCCGCCGCCTTCGGAGAAGGCCTCCTCCCTCTCACTCCCCCCCCCTCACTCGCCGCCGATCTGACGTGCGGCCGACGACATCTCCCAGGCGCTCCCGCAGCAGCTCCGAAACGCCCGCCACCCGCGGAGAACGACGTGGCCGCAAGCCCCCCCAGCTGGGCGCCGCCGAGCCAAGCGCCGAGCGTCGAGCGCCCACCGCCGTGCTCGGCGCGGCCGCGGAGGGGCGTCGCCGTACGACGGCGTTGACGACATCGTTGGCAACGAGGGCGACGACGACGACGACGCCGACGACGGCGACCGCGACGACGACGGCGACGACGACGACGACGGCGGCGGCGCCGACGTCGGCGGCGGGACCTCGAGAGGGCAGCGATCCGGGCTACCTTGGCTCCAAGGAGCCTCAATTAGCCTACGGAGGGTAGCGATCGGGGCGAAGTCGACTCCGCCCACCGAGCGAAATTGTAGAACCCCCCGAAGTCACGTGGGGAGTCAACGGCCCACTCGAATAAGCCAGATTCGGCTAGACATGCACGATCTTGGCACCCACTGGCAACCCCTCTTACCCTCGTAGCAATCCCCGCGCCCATCCCAACAGATCAGACCTCTGGGGCCCCACGTCGTGAAGCAATGCGACGTCGGAATTCCGGGCGCGCGGAACCAAGCGCCAGGAGCTAGGCACAACTCCGAGGGCTCGGTTCGGCTCGGCGCTCGGCCGAGGTCCTGAGCAACCCCCCGACCGATCCTGGCAGATCTCTGGGGCTCCACGCCGTGACACAGCATGAGACAAGGTCGGAATTCTGGGTGCGCCGAGCCGAGCGCCAGGAGCTGGGAACAACGCCGAGCGCTCGGCGCATCTCGGCGCTCGGCCGAAGCTGGCGTGGTCAATCTGCGAATCTGCGCGCCGCGGGCGCGCGGCCAGTATGCATTGTCAACGTGGTTGTCGTCGTCGTGGTCGTCGTCCTCGTCAAGGTCGTGGACGTGGTCTTCGTCGTCGTCGCCCTTGTCGTGGTCGACGTCGTCATCGCGTCGTGGCGGTGGTCGTCGTTGTCGTCGCATCCATAGCAGCCGCCGCCGTCGTCGACAACGTGGTCGTCTTCGTCGTCGTCATCGTCGTCGACGCCTGCATCGGCGTCACCGTCGTCGATGTCGTCGTCGTCGCCGTCGACGTTGCCGTGGTCGTCGTCGTGGTCCTCGTCGTCGTCGTGTAGTGGTGGTGGAAGGCGTCGTCGTCGTCGTCATCGTCGTCGTCGTCGCGGCCGTCGGCGTCGTCGTCGTCGTCGTCGTCGCCGTCGTCGTCGCCAACGCCACCGCCGCAGACCCCGCAGTCAACAACATCATCGTCGGCAGCGTCACCGTCGTTGTCGTCGTCGTCGTCGTGGTCGTAGCCGTCGTCGTTGTGTCGTGGTGGTGAGCGTCGTCGTCGTCGCCGCCGCCCCCGCCCCGTCGACGTCGCCGCCGTCGTCGTTGACGTCGGTGTCACTGTCGTCGTGGTCGTCATCGTCGTCGTCGTCGTGACGTGGTGGTGGTGGTGGTCGTCGTCGTCGTCGCCACCACCGCTTCACCCGACGTCGTCGTCAAAAACAACATCGCTGTCGTTGTCGTCGTCGTCGCCGGCGTCGTCGTCGTCGTCGTCGCCGTCGTCGTCGCCACCGCCACCGCCGCAGCCCCCGCAGTCAACAACGTCATCGTCGGCGTCGTCGTGGTCGTCGTGTCGTGGTGGTGGTCGTCGTTGTCGTCGCCGCCGCCCCCGCCCCGTTGACGTCGCCGCCGTCGTCGTCGATGTCGGAGTCACTGTCGTCGTGGTCGTCATCGTCGTCGTCGTCGTGACGTGGCGGTGGTGGTGGTCGTCGTCGTCGCCACCGCCGCTTCACCCGACGTTGTCGTCAAAAGCGTCATCGCTGTCGTCGCCGTCGTCGTCGTCGTCGTTGCCGCCGCCGTCGGCGCCACCATCGTCATCGTCGTCATCATCGTCGTCGTCGTCGCCGTCGTCGAGGTCGCCGGCGTCGTCGTCAACTTTTCGTGGTGGTGGTCGTCGTCGTCGTCGTCGCCACAGCCACCCTCGCCGTCGTCGTGAACAACGCCATCGTCGTCGTCGTCGTCGTCGTCGTTGTCGTCGTCGTCGTCGTCGTGGTGGTCGTCGTCGTCGTCATGGTGTCGCTGTCGTCGTCGTCGTCGTCGTGGTCGTGTCGTGGTGGTGATCGTGGTCGCCGACGCCGTCGTCGTCAACAACGTCATCGTCGTCATCATCGTCGTCATCGTCGTCCTCGTCGTCGTCGTGGTCGTCGTCGCCGTCATGATCGTCGCTGTCGTCGCAGTCGTCGTCGTCGTCCTGGTGGTGGTCATCGTCGTCGCCGTCGCCGCCGCCCCCTCGCTCGTCGTCCTCGACTTCGTCGTCGTCGTCGCCGTCGTCGACGTCGTCGTCGTTGTGGTCAGCGTCAGCGTCGTCGTCGTCGTCGGCGTCGGCGTCGGTGCCGTGGAGGGGCGGCGGCTCCTGGGCCGCGGGGGCGGCGCCGCCCAGGGCGCCGCCATCTGGAACACCTTGTAGTTCAGCTCCCCCAGCATGGGGTCCTCCCGGCGCGGCGGGGGGCCGAGCGGGGTCCGTCGGGGGAGCGGCGGCACTCGGAGCTCACAGAAGAGCTGCTCTCAGAATCGCTGGAGCGCGTGTCTTGTTAGCACGTCCCACTCCTCGCTTTCTGTCTCTCTCTCTCTGTGTTTGTGTGTCTCTCTCTCTCTCTCTCTCTCTCTCCCTCGTACCTCGACGAAGACGTGTTGAACACAACCTGGAGTGTGGACGTGAGGCCAGGCGGTACTCTGATACCCCATGACGTATGAAAAAAACGTTCTGAAGCCAGGTGGGTCACGGGCCGATCCTGGACTTGAACACGTAACAACAGCGGCGCCCAACATGGAAAGAAAACGTCGATCTTGGAAACGGAGAAGCACAACGCCCCAGCAAGATCATCTAAGACTGGGAGGTGAACAATTACGACGGAATTTATATCGCAACGTTCGGCCTCTGGGGGCCCTCACCGAGCCCCGGGAGCGTCAAGAACAAACTCGGGATGATAGAAGCTGGTCCCCCGGAAGGGGCCTGGACCTCTGGGGGTCCACGCCGCGCCGCGATCAACGATCACAGTGTCGGAGTTCTGGGGAAGTACTTAGGGTCAGCCGGGAGATCGGCGGTGGAGGCAGACGGCAGGGCGCTCCCCGCAGGGTGCTCCCCAGAGGTCGGCTGCACGTACCCAAACATCCTTCGGTGTGACTCTTTCCATCCGCGGCCCCAAAGCTCCCGACCCCTTCCCTGGGGATAGTGTTGCGTCCCGGATGCGGTTTTGATGGCCCCGGAGCCCGATAATGGGCCCCAGAGGCCGAAGTCCAGGAAAGACGCTTGGATTGACCAAAATAACATCCTCGGAGCTCTGGGGAGGTCGGCTGCACGACAGAGGTGGCCTGCAGGCAAGGAGTGGCACTGGGCGCGCGGCGTTTGGGGGGCGCGAGGGTGTCAAGACCAAGGGCCGCAGGCCGCAGGACCTCGGGGGGGTTTCCCCAGTGGGCCCGCACCACAGGTCACTCCGGCGAAGGGTCACTCTGACGTGTAGTCGAACGGAGTGCTCCTCGCAGGTCCGGGGTTGCTAAGGGTGCTCACGGCCCAAGGTGCCCCCAGCTTTTCGCTCAAGTTTGGCTCTCCTGGGGCCCTCTGGGCCTCGTGAGGGGTGCTCTGGAGGCCGTGGGGGCCTCCTTGGAAATCTGGGGGGCACCTTGGGCCAGAGGCACTTCTAACAACACCCGACGCAAGCCGGGGACGCACTGACCGGGTCAAAGTAAACCCCGGTCGGTCGGGCTTCGCAGGATCCTGCCAAATCCAACAAGTTCTTGCGCGCTAGTCCGGGTCAGTACACCCCTGATCCTGCAGGATCCTGCAAGTTCCAGCGCTCTGGCAGACTCCCGTTTGCGTTGACCCCCGTCTCAATGCTCCCGACAGGATGACCGCTATGGGGGTGCCTACAGACGGGAAAGAAGAAGGAGTCAGATTGGGAGCCGCCCAGTCTGCAGGAAGGTGTGCTGTTTAGCGAGTGGCTCTATGATTTTTTTCCAGGGAAGGACACAACAGTCTGGTCGCTCATGTTTGCTAAACGTAAAAAAGAAGATTGGGAGGGTGGTCGGAAGCAGGGCGATCAGTTGGAGAGCGGCCAAAGGGGAGGCCAGGTCAGGGAGGGTGGCGACAAGGATGGCGACGAAAAGGAGTGGCAGGCAAGCAAGAGGAGGGAGCAGAGGGGGAGGAGGGAGCATGGGAGGGGGGTGAGGGAACGGGAAGAGGAGGAGCACAAGGAAGGCGGATAGAACGCTGCTGCAAACACCACGTTGACCTGCACAACTCGCAAGTCGGACTTCGCCCGCACCTATCCCAGTTCACATGGTCACAACGAAACGCCGCATGGGAAAGTTGCTCGCGCGTGTCTTCTCCTTCGCAGTCTTGGCGATCTTCTGCTCCGTTTTGAGCGCGCGCCTCAACGCACGTGTCTTCTTCGGCCTCAGGTCCAGGGGGACGTACTTCTTGCCCTTGCACTCCTTTCGGCATGACGGAAAAGGAGTCCTACTGGCAAGGGGAGCTTGGCCCCTGGCATGCCTCCAAGACTGAATCGTTTTGAATGTCATGCGGCTGGGGAGGGCCCTAGGAGCCCGAAGAGGGCGAAACACCTCGAGGACACCTTCCCTCCAGAACTCCCTGTTCCTCTTGCCGAGTCCTTGCGAGCATCCGCCTTCTGCTTCTGGTTGTAGACGGTCAGCATGCGCGCAATCGACTTCCGGACGACCTTGCTCCGTGACAGGGGGAGCATAGAAAATGCTGGCTCACACGCACACACACATATACATACGCGCACACGTTCGCACACACACACACATATATATATATATATATATATATGCCTACGACCACCTTTCGGGTGAAAAGGCGGTTGGGGGGTGGGGGGGATGAACAAATAGCTGGCAACTGCGACGGGTGTGATGATGACGATAGACGTGCCTCCGAGTTAGCGACGATGCGTGATGACAATGTTGCGCTGCGATGTAATGCCACCGTCGCCCCCGCATTCTTTCTCACGACCAATGTCACAACCAACCTCGCTGTCGATCTGTCTTTTGATTCCTCCATCCATCCCATTCTAAATCTCTTTATAGATAGCACGATCGATTTCACTATCGGTACCAACGCGGGACACCAACAGCCACCGCCGGCCCACCGCCGACGGAACACCGACGGAACACCAACGGGACACCACGGGACACCACGGCGGGACACCCCGGGCCACTGCGCGCCCACCGGGGGCTGAGAGGCGGTCCGCGGCATCCGAATCGACCTAGCGACGGCGAGGTCATTCTTCTCACGCGTTCACGCAGCTTCGCCCCGCCCGCACGCACGACACGAACACGAACACGAAACCGAATTCCTGGTGGAGGGGCTTTCCTCCCCACTGCGATCTCACATCTCAGCCTCCGATTCATATACGTAGATACATACATACATTTATGGCACATGTGTATATACATGTGTGCACATATGGAGAGAGAGAGAGGAACAACAAAGAAACACACTCTTTTTTTGGTCGACGGGGCGAGAACGAACCTCTTCCGCTAAAAGCTAGGCGGGCTACGCGCAGCTTTAATTATGGAGACAGGGCGCTGGAAAGCGGGGCCTCAGGCGGCCGGGGCAGGTGGAACCCGGGGTGCACGCGGTGCCGAAGAACTTGCACAGGAGAAAGTACGCCGTGGGCGGGGCCGGAGGCGAAGACCCGGAACGCCATGGGGGTGGTGCAGCCGTCAGCGGCGCGTCGCGTACACCAGCCTCAAGTACAGCGGGGAAGGACGTGCCATTGACCAGGTCGACGCCCAGGAGGGAAAAGAGCACCACGAAGGCGATGAGCAACGTTGTGCCACCGGATGATGCGGAGGAGGCCCAGGAAGAAGAATAACACCACGAAGGCGATGTGCAACGTTGTGCCACCGGGTGATGCGGAGGACGCTCTGGGTGGTAGTCCAATCCACGTCCAGGAAGTCGCCTGCTTGAGGTGCGGCCACGGACAAATGGGCCGTACATGACCGACAGACGGTCGGCGGAGTGCAGGGAGCAAGCCAGCCCTGCACAGTCAGCGCGTGGAGACGAGATAGGCACACACACACGACCAAAAAACACCTGGCGAAGGACCCAACCATATGCAGTTGTGGGTACAGCAATTGTGCTTATTTTCTTCGGTGAAGCTCCCTGTGGGGGCACGAAATGCTGCATTGGGTTGGGGGGAGCGCATGCGGGGGTGGTATCACTGGGGCCGTCGGTGGGGCTCCCTATGGGGCCACGAAGCGTTGTATTGGGTCTGTGAAAATGCCAAACTGGGTTTCCGGGGCGCATGCGGGCGGTCCCACTGGGGGCTTCGGTGGAGCTCCCTGTGGGCCCAGGAGACGCTGCACTGGGAGGTTGAAAATGCCAAATTGGATATTCCGGGGGGCACGCGGACAGTGGCATTGGTGGTGGCACGTGCCCCTTCAAATCCCCAAACCGCGAAATGTCCATGTCGCCCAACACGTTTGTCAAGCGCGCCAGCTTGCTGGCTTGGTCGTAGCTCTCGTCGCCGTTCTCTGCGTTGAGATAACTAGTGGTGGTGCCTCTTCTCTTGCACCTGCAGGGGGCGGCAAACGACCTAAAATGAGGCTATCGATGCTACGCCCAATTGATCACAGCAGACGCCATCTCGCACGATTCGGCAGCATTCGTCATGCTCCACCGCCCCCATGTCGGCGTTCGCAAGGCGGAGCATCGTCTTGAACAGCGTGTGCCTGCGAGCGACCTGCCACCGTTCTCCCAGATGGGATGGCATGCCCACAGGCAGGTCCGTAGACCAGTCAGCCTCGCATCTGGCCAACGATGGTCTACCAGCTGCAGCGCGCTCCCTCTGAAACTGGTGTGGTGCTGGCCCAGCATGTCACAGCTGGCGACCATCATCCTCGTGTCGGGTGGCGCCGCTCCTACCCCAGAAGCCGCCAGGCCAAGCGGCGGTGCAACCGGCGGCAGTGCCGGGGGCCGCGCGGCTGCGGCAGCGGCTGGAGCAGCAGGCGTGGCGGCAGTGGGCGCTGGCACAACCAGGACCCCTGGGGCGGCGGGCGCGAGCGCAGCCCGAACGCCCCCCGCCGCAGGCGGCAGTGGGGCGCCTGGCACTGCCCGCGGCAACACCGGCGGGGGCAGCCGCAGCGGCATCGCCAGCGGCGGGCCCGACAGGAATGGCCAGAGCGTGAACCCCGGCAGCCACGCCCAGCACGTTGACCACCGCGAGATCGAGGTTCAGCACCTGGATGGCCGGCGGCGAATAGCCCGCCGCGACCGCCCATGGCCTCCGAGGCCTGCTGGGATGGGCGGTGGAGTTGCTAAGGGGATAGGGGGGTTATCAGTGGATGCCAAAAGGGGATATACCTGGCCATGTGGCTTAGGGGGACTAGACAACACCGCGAAGTGGGTGGAACCCACTTAGCCTGGATCGCTATCCCTCCCAAGCTATTTGGGGCATGTGTAGCCCGCTTAAAAGCTAGGTTAAGCCAGGTGTAACCCCTTTGGCGTCCACTGGTAACCCCCTATCCTCTTAGCACCGCTCCCGCCCTTCCCAGTGGGCGGCACTCGCGGAAACCGATGCACGTGCCCAGCCGTCAGCGCCGCCAACGCGTCGCCCTGGCCGGCGAGTCGGATGACCTCGGCAACATCAGGCCCAGACGCGTTGGGATCATCATAATCGTCGAAGTCGGGCGTCATGATGTACGACAATGCCCTTGGCTCGCCCAGCGTGAGGCGTTCGTGCCACAACAGCGGCCCTGGCACGCGATACCTCGATGCGTAGAAGGAAGACGCCCGCTATCGCTGCGCGTGCAGCCGCCGGAAACGACTACCCCGCGCCTGCTCCGCGGCGAGCTCCCCGAGAATAGGTTCGCTGCTAGACGGGCTGGCCGGCGCGGGCGATCGACCTTGCCTCCATCCAGCCCAAGCAGCAGCCTCTCTTCGCTGGCCTTGGCCGTCGGGGAGCTGGATGTCACCCAGCGGCGGAGACGACCCAGAAGCTGGCCGCTTCGCCACCTCCAGGAAGATCAGCCCCAGAAGCCCGAAGCCGAACTGGACAGACCTCGCAGGCGAATCGTCGCTTGCCTCTGGGCAGGCAGGACAAAGGGCGCACTGCGACGGGAAACATAACGCGCCTCCACCGCCGCCGAAGTGCAGGCTGACAAATAGACGAGCGGTGGCGATGAGCCGTCACTCCCCTGCCTCCGCGCCCATTCGCTGGCTTCCACGGCCGAGGGTGCGGTCGGCGAGAGCGGCTCCCACGGCGCAGTCTGCCACCACCAGCGCGCAACGCCTGTGGCACTGAGGTGGCAGAACAACTGGAGTCCAACCTCGTGCTTGAACGAGGCGAGGGCGCTGCGCCCGTTTGAGTTGAGCGCGCACGTCGACGGAAACGTCGATGCAGCGAGCCTTCGAGGGCCTGGCACGCCACTTCGGCCTGTCAGCAGCAAACGTATGCAGGTACTCCCGAGCGTTGCTTGCACTTGGGGGTTCTTACTTCTGCCGTGAGGAGCTGCGCCTGGGCGTTGGTCTGGCGCTTCCGTGCTCGCCTCCGCCGCTCCGTCGCCGCCTCGTCGCCGCCTCGTCGTCTGGCCTGTCGGTCTGGCAATGCCTTGCTCGCCGTGCCTCGTCGCCGCCCGTCGTCTGGGTCTGGGTGTTGGCGCGGCGGCTCCGTGCTCGCCGGCGCCGCCTCGTCGCCGCCCGTCGTCTGGCCTGTCGGTCTGGCAATTCCTTGCTCGCCCTGCCTCGTCGCCGCCCGTCGTCTGGGTCTGGGTGTTGGCGCGGCGGTTCCGTGCTCGCCGGCGCCGCGCCGTCGGCGCCCAAGGCGTGAAACAGAGACTGCACCACGTATGTTGCACAATGCAGGTCGCACCACGTAGATCGCACGGCATACATAGCACCAGGTCGATCGCACCACATATGTTGTACCACGTAAAATGGCACAACATGTATGGGGCCATACAGATTGCACCAGGCCGGTCGCACCACACAAATTTTCACCATCGGTTGCACCACATCTGTTCTTCTTTCTAAAAAGATAATAGACTCTCCCCCCCCCCGGCGTTCGCCGCCACCCTTTCGGGTATGTAAATCATATATGATTCTGACCACATGTCCATCCTAAATATGAATTTACAGCATCCCCAGGGAACCGGTATCGTTCCCCCTGAGGTTCTCTGATGAAAAAAACGATGCGCGGCATTTGTTCGAACATAACACTTTTTTCGCGAATCCATTGCAACAAATTTGGCGAAGTGCGCACGCGCGCGTCGTCGCGCGCGCATGCCGGAATCCTTCAAAAACCTTCGGTGTCGGAAGGATTTCGCAATCGAGTTCCCAAAAAACATACAACAACTTATGGTTTCGCAACACTGATTTGCTAAACAAGCTTACGGGCGAGCTCTTGCGAAATCTTAAGAAAACCAGAGGTTCTTCAATATTTTCACAACGTGCTACCAAACTGGCTTCGCGCGCGCATGTCGAAATCTGTCGAACGCCCTTGCGCGTGTGCCGTCGCGAGAATCCTCTGCAAAAAGCTGGGACGAAGTGCGCACGCGCGCGTCGTCGCGCGCGTATGCCGAAATCCTTCAAAAACCATTGGTTTCGGAAGGATTTCCACATCGTGTGTCCAAAAAACATACAAAAACACAAGGTTTCGCAACACGGACTTTCAACAAAAGCGTGCGCGCGCGCTCTTGCGTCGTCGTGGTCGTCGTCGCCGTCCTCCCTCCTCCCGCGTCGTCGTCGTCGTCGCCTACGTCGTCCTGTCTTTCCTCGTGTTCGTCGTCGTCGTCCTCTTTGGCGTCGTGGTCGTTTCCGTTGTCGTTGTCGCCGTGGTCGTCCTTCCTCTTCCTCCCTCGTCCTCGTCGTCGTCCGTCGTCGGCGTCTCGTCGTCGTCCCTCCTATTTCGTCGCCGTCGTCGTCGTCGTCGTCGTCGTCGTCGTCGTCGTTGTCGTCGTCGTCGTCTTCCCTCCTCCCTCGTCGTTGTCGTCGTCGGCGTCGCCGTCCTTCCTCCTTTTCCGTCGTTCGCGTCGTCGCCGTCTTCCCTCCTCCTTCGTCGTTGTCGTCGTTGTCGGCGTTGTCTCCGTCGTCGTTCCCCCTCCCCCCTCCTCGACGTCTTCGTTGGCGACGTCGTCGTCGTCTTCGTCGTCGTCGTCGGCGTCGGCGTCGTTGTCGTCTTCGTCGTCGTCGACGTCGGCGTCGTCACCGTCGCCATCGTCGTCGTCGTCGTCGTCGTCGTCGGCGTCGTTGACGTCGTTGTCGTCGTCGTCGGTGTCGTCGTTGTCGTCGTCGTCGTCGTCGGCGTCGTCATCGTCGTCGTCGTTGTCATCGACGTCGTCGTCGTCGTCGGCGTCGGCGTCGTCGTCGTCGGTGTCGTCGTCGTCGTCGTCCTTGTCGGCGTCGTCGAAGTCGTTGGAGACGTCGTCGGTGTCGTCGTAGTCGTTATCGGCGGCGCCGTCGTCGTCGTTGTCGCTGTCGTCGTCGGCGTCGCTGTCGTTGCCAAGTGCCATGTGGTACCCACCGTCACGGTCTTAAGAGATTTTGCAGACCAAGTTGCGGGTGGGTGGGTGGGATGTTTGCAAGAGCGCGGGATGTGTCAACTCGTTTGTTAAAATCAATTCTCCTTTCTAAGCAAATCATAGACTCTACCCCCCCTGGCGTTCGCCGCCATCCTTTCGGGTATGTAAATCAAATATGATTCTGACCACATGTCCATCCTAAATATGAGTTTACAGCATCCCCAGGGAACCGGTATCGCTCCCCCTGAGGTTCTCTGGTTAAAAAAACGCGGGGACATCTTGTGTTCTAACATAGCATTTTTTTCACGAATCCCTTGCAAAAGCTGGGACGAAGTTCACACGCGCGCGTCGTCGCGCGCGCATGCCGACATCCTTCAAAAACCTGCGGTGTCGGAAGGATTCCGCAATCGAGTTTCCAAAAACATGCAACACACAGGGTTTCGTAACACTGATTTGCTGCAACAAGAAACTGACGCGCGAGCTCTTGCGAAATCCTATGGTTTCCCAAGACTTTTACAAAATGCTACCAAACGGGCTTCGCGCGCGCATGTCGAAATCTGTCGAACGCCCTTGCGCGTGTGCCGTCGCGAGAATCCTCTGCAAAAAGCTGGGACGAAGTGCGCACGCGCGCGTCGTCGCGCGCGAATGCCGAAATCCTTCAAAAACCATTGGTTTCGGAAGGATTTCCACATCGTGTGTCCAAAAACTTACAGAAACACAAGGTTTCGCAACACGGATTTTCAACAAAAGCGTGCGCGCGCGCTCTTGCGTCGTCGTCGTCGTTGTCGTCGTCGTCGTCGTGGTCGCCGTCCCCCCTCCTCCCGCGTCGTCGTCGTCGTCGCCTACGTCGTCCTCTGTCTTTCCTCGTGTTCGTCGTCGTCGTCCTCTTTGGCGTCGTGGTCGTTTCCGTTGTCGTTGTCGCCGTGGTCGTCCTTCCTCTTCCTCCCTCGTCCTCGTCGTCGCCCGTCGTCGGCGTCTCGTCGTCGTCCCTCCTATTTCGTCGCCGTCGTCGTCGTCGTCGCCTACGTCGTTGTCGTCGTCGTCGTTTTCCCTCCTCCCTCGTCGTTGTCGTCGTTGTCGTCGTCGTCGCCGTCCTTCCTCCTTTTCCGTCGTTCGCGTCGTCGCCGTCCTCCCTCCTCCCTCGTCGTTGTCGTTGCTGTCGTCGTTGTCGCCGTCGTCGTCTTCCCTCCTCCCTCGTCGACGTCTTTGTTGGCGACGTCGTCGTCGTCTTCGTCGTCGTCGTCGGCGTCGGCGTCGTCGTCGCCTTCGTCGTCGTCGAAGTCGGCGTCGTCGTCGTCGCCGCCGTCGTCGTTGTCGTCGTCGTCGTCGTCGGTGTCGTTGACGTTGTCGTCGTCGTCGGCGTCGTCATCGTCGTCGTCGTTGTCATCGTCGTCGTCGTCGTCGGCGTCGGCGTCGTCGTCGTCGGTGTCGTCGTCGTCGCCGTCGTCGTCGGCGTCGTCGTCGTCGTTGGAGACGTCGTCTGTGTCGTCGTAGTCGTTGTCGCTGTCGTCGTCGGCGTCGCTGTCGTTGCCAAGTGCCATTTGGTACCCACCGTCACGGTCTCAAGAGATTTTGCAAACCAAGTTGCGGGTGGGTGGGTGGGGTGTTTGCAAGAGCGCGGGATGTGTCAACTCGTTTGTGAAAACCCATTGCACCCCATATATTCGTCCACAAAGACTGCCCACCAAATATTGCACAACATGTGTTGCACCACGAAGATTGCACCACGTTGATTGCACCGCACGGGGCTACAAGGGTCGCACCGTATATGTTGGACCATGTCGATCGCCTCTCCTAGATTGTACACGTTAAATGGCACAGCGTAGATTGCACCACGAAGGATGCACCACATAGATTCACCACATCGGCTGCACCACATAGACTGCAACATACAAATTACAACCCTTAGATTGCCCCCACAACGATTGCACCGTATATATTGCACAGCGCGACTTGCACCACATCTATAGCACCACGTCGGGTGCCCCGCATCGGCTGCCCAACATGTTTGCTAGAAGCACCACTTGGGGCCCACGCGGGCTAACACATATTATGTACGCGTACGACTATACATCGTGCGTGGACCCCCCCCACCCCGCATCACCCCCCCAAATATCCAGGATTTTGTTTTGGGACGCCCCCCCCGCCACGGGGCACCTTTTCGAGCCGCCCACATTATGTTGGACGCTGCGGAAGCACCAGAAGCCTGGCAGCGACTCCCACGATGGACCATAATCGAATTCGGCGTCCCAAGAGAACCCCAAAAACCTTCGCCAGAGGGCGTTGGAAGGCAAACGTCATGTATTTCCAAACTGTTCTTCGATGCTTTTGGGTTCCTCGATTTGTCAAACTCCCGGCGCCCCGCAGCAGCTCAAGAGGCCCCACGAGAAACCCAAAACGACAGAAGAGGCCCCAAGAAGGCCCCAACACGGCCCAAGAGGGCCTCACAACTGCGCAATGAGGCGCCCAGGATTGCCCAGGAGGGCCCCCGGACAGGGGCCCAAGAACGGGAACACGGACGGACACTTCGACCAATCCGATCGACAAGGCGCCGAGGAAGCGCCCGAAAAACCAACAGAGGCCGCCAAAGAACGCCCAAAACGGCACCAAAACATGTCCGCATACGGCCCCAAGCCTACCAAATTCAGGTCCACGAGGGCTCGTCGACAATTGAACGCGCATGTTGTCACACGTGTCGGCGTTCCTCCTCCCCTCCTCCTCCTCCTCCTGCTCCTCCTCATGCTCCTGCTCCTGCTCCTGCTCCTTTCCCTCCTCCTCCTCCTCCTCCTGCTCCCCCTCCTCCTCCTTCTCCTCCTGTTCGTCCTCTTTCGATTCAGTCTCACTCTTGGCATTTTTGGGCATCAGGAGAAGCATAGGTCGGCCCCAGGGGCACCAACAGCCTCCCGCATGGGGCATCGTGCGGACGCTTTCCTGGGTTTCCCGGCCAGCCGCCCGCCTTATCACGGTCGCCGCGCGCGGAAGTACTAGAAGCTTCGCAGCGATTCCCACGATGAGCCAGGAACCCAAGATACGTCACAAGAAAACCCAAAAAACGTTCCCCCGAGGACCTCGGGGGGCACGCGAAATTCATTATCATTTGTTGTTCCGATGTTGTTTGAATCGGGGGCGTGCGCAACTGCCTCGCATGGGTGAAACGCAGACGTTTTCTTCGACATCCGGTGTACATCTGAACCGACGCGACATCGACCCCCTCGCGGTCCTGGGACTCACTTTCCTATCGGTGTATACCTGCAACCTTCCGCTACCCCTACCGAGAACCATCTCACGGTCACCACCTTCGCCCCCCCATGGCTACCTCGATGACCGCCCTCCCTTTCCGCATTGCCGACAAGGCTTTTCCGGTAATGATGCCAGCCACAAACCAAGGCCATGCCCTGAACCTGCATGACGGTCATGACTGGAGCCCCTCTCGCATCGTGACCTTCGCCCCAGTCGCGGTCTTCTCATCGGTGTTCCTGGTCATCGGCTTCGCGGCCACTGCCCAGGCCCCGCTCCCCCATAATCTTCACCCGGCTCGCGGTCATGACGTGCGCCTCCTCAACGTCCCAGCCCTCACCCCAAGTGGGGTACTGGCTCCCCCTAGCATGGATATACTCGCCTTCGCCCCCGCGGCAACCCGGCCCTGTCCCCTGTGGCATGAGCATGCCTGTAGCCTCCGCGCGGCCAATAACCCGCGCCCCCGTCCAATGACCCGCGCCCCCGCACTGGCGAGGCTTTCGGCAATCACCCGCAGTGCCTGGACGCAAGACGAAAGTTTGAGGCGCAGCCAAGCGAGCCCCGAAGTTTTGGGTATATATATATATATATACACACATATTTGTGTAACTATACAAGACTGCAGTGGCGTTTCGCGCAATGCACCTTGGTCCTTGAAGTTTGGTATGCAGGCGGAAGGGCAGGACGGTCAAGCCGACAATCTAGCGATAACTCCTCGTTGCCTTTTCCAGCATCGCCGCTAAACTTATGTTATTCGTTATCCTTCCTCCATGCCTATTTTTTCCTCGTTCTCGCCATACCCTGCGCACTTTCCCCTATCCTCCTCAGCTCTTTCTGCGGAGGCTCCTCCTTGGAGAGCCTCTGGGTGCCTCACACAAGTTTCAAGCTTTCTTAAGGCCTTTTGGTGACCTCCTGGGCGTGTTCTGGTGGTTCTGGGGGCTTCCTCGGGCTACCCTGCCTCCAACCGCGGTCTCCCTGAACGACCGGGTCACGATTTGGAATGCTTCGGAGGGTGTCTTGGGGCCGTCTTGGGCCGCCATGGGGCTCTCTTAGGGCCATCTTTGATCCCTGTTGTGCCGTTTTGGGGCTCTCTTGGACTGCCTGGAAGCCCCTTCGGATGGTTGTGGGGCGATTTTGGAGCCTCCCAGGCGGCTTCGGACGCCCAGAAGACTGCCGTATTGGAGCGTCGGGAAGCCGAAAAGAGGAGAACCCCAAAATTCACCAAAAACCAAAACAAAATCAATGATGTTTGCCTCTTGGGCCTTCTTGGGAGTGCTCTTGGAAGCTTTTTGAAGCCTTTGGGGCTGTCCTGGAGGCCTCTTGGACCATCTTGAGGTCACGTCGGTCACTCTTGGAGCACTCTTGTGCTGTCTTGGGGGTCTCTGGGACGTCTCCGATGACCCACCTGATCGCCCTAGGTGTGCTGGGAAGGCTTGGCAAAATGCCCTGCGAGGCCCGGGGGGCCGCTTCGAGGCCCGTGCGGAGGGTCCCAAAGCCCCAGATCCCGGGAGTCCGTTTTTCTTTAGAGGGGTCCCCCCCCGCCCGGGCTGATAACAGCATGAGGAACGGAATATATATATATATATATATATATATATATATATATATATGTACGTAACCCAATTGCGGCCGATCCCCTGGTTGACCACAGTCGGCCCCTCCAGAACTCCGGCGTTGTGGCTTGCTGTTCGAGCGTGAACCCCTGGAAATCTAGTCCGTTCCCCCTGGACTGGATTTTCATCATGGATAGTTGTCGGACGGTCCCGGGGTGGGATTTTTCCCTCGCGACTAGAGGAGGCGGAAGACAACAGGAAAAGGAAGAGGAGGAGTCGGCTATACGCAAGAGTGACCCTGGGTAAAAGTGACCTTTGGTGCGCGACTTTTTGGGGGCCGCGGGGGGACCAAACCCGGGCGAGCAAGCAGCTGCGACTGCTTCGTTTTCAGCCATCTGGGGACCCATCTGCGCCCGCACCAAGGGTCACTCTGGCGAAAGGTCACTCTCACGTCTAGTCGAAGGAGGAGGAGGAGGAGGAGGAGGAGAAGAAGGAGGAAAGGGATGAGGAGGAGGAGGATGGATGGATGGACGGGCCATCATCATCATAGAGGCCCTGGCGGCCGTCTGCTAGCAGACGACCGCCCCAAATGTCGAAAGGTCCACTGCCCGCGGACGCCCGCGCTCCCCGCGCGTGGGCCCCGCGCGGCCCGCCGGCGCGCGGCCGTGGGCGGCGCCGGAGGCGCGTCCGCCCGCTCTTCGCCACCGCGCGAAGCCTGGCGGGGGGCTGCAGGGTCCCCGCGGTGGCCCCGCGGGGCGCCGCGCTGGCGGCTCTTCCAGTCTTCCCCGCCCCCCGGGCGCCGAGGCGACGGCGGCCCTCGCCCCTGCGCGCCGACCGGAGTGGGGCTGCTGGAGCCTCCAGCGGCGGCAGGGGCCGCGCTGGCGGCGTTTCCCCGACCTCTGGGCGGCGGGCTCCCCGCCTGCTGTGCGCCGCTCCTCCTCATTTGGCGGTCGCGCGGCTGCCCCTGGCTTGGGGGATGGGCCTCGGGGAGGGGGAGGAGGAGGAGGAGGAGGAGGAGGAGGAGGAGGAGGAGGAGGAGGAGGAGGAGGAGGAGGAGGAGGAGGAGGAGGAGGAGGAGTGCTCAGCGAAGTGCTCGCCACCCGGCCCTGACCGACACGCCGCCCCTCCTGGCTGCCGAGGCCCCGCCCGCGCAACCTCTCCAGCGGCGGAACGCTTTCCCGACCACACGCCAGCGGCGCGCGGAGGGTCCACGGGCACAGGGGGAGGAGGAGGAGGAGGAGGAGGAGGAGGAGGAGGAGGAGGAGGAGGAGGAGGAGGAGGAGGAGGAGGAGGAGGAGGAGGAGGAGGAGGAGGAGGGGAGGAGGAGGAGGAGGAGGAGGAGGAGGAGGAGGAGGAGGAGGAGGAGAACGAGGAGGAGGACGAGGAGGAGGAGGAGGAGGAGGAGGAGGAGGAGGAGGAGGAGGAGGAGGAGGAGGAGGAGGAGGAGGAGTTGGCGACGTGTCGGGGGGGGCGGCCGAAGATGACCTTTATCTTGGCCAGCTTCGACGCGGCCCCGCCCGCCACCTTCGCGACGCGCAGCTGGGACAGCTCGCTCTTCATCTCGTCGAGATCCTTCAGGAGTTCCTTGGAGGTCTTCAAGCGCAGCTCGTAGGCCTTGGCGCGCGCCATCTCCGCTGCTGCGCGGTAGCGGGAGGCTTGCTCGATGCGGCGCTGAGGACTTGAGCCCCTGAGCCAAAACTGGCTGCGGCGCAGGGGGGCGGGGCAGGCGACCCTTCGGAGCTCTGGCCTTCCAGCGCCTCGTGCTTAGGAAGGGCCTCGGGAACCCCGGCAAATCGGCGCGGCTCAGGCACCCCCAGGGAACAGCCCCCGGGCGATCTGCAGTGCAGATCGCCCGCTGCGCATGCACTTCCCCTACGTTTCTTGGCTCGCCTGGCACACCAGACAGAAGTGTCACCTTTCGAGATCACTCGAGTTCTCTCGGCGCAGGCGGTTTGTCAGGTCTGCTTTCTTTGTCCAATTGTTCCTCTTCGGGGAAGGGTTTGCGCCGTCCTCGTACCCCAGGCCACCAGCGCGCATAAGCGCACCTCATAGACCACCATGCGGGTGACAAGGAGGTTGGATAGAGATGGGTGCACCTTTATGTTGTCGATGTCTCCGCGCCGGAAAGCCCAGAAACGACCAACCAAACTGGCTAGACTTACACTTTAGGAATGAATCGATGTACATATAAACATATCGATGCAAATTCCGCAAACAATGCTTAAACCGGGTTTGCCAATCTGGCGACTGCGTACCTGCCATCGCCGCCCCGTCGCCGCCCGACGCCTGGGCTTGTCTGACGGTGTGGCGCCTCCGTCCCGGCAGTCGCCGCCCCGTCACCGCCTGCTCGCCGCCCGTCGCCTTTGCTTCGCCGTCGCCGTCGCGATGCTTTGCGTTGCATTGTTTTGGGTTGTACTTCGTCGGTTTGCATTCCCTCGCATTGCAGAGCAAACCGCTGGACTTGCCTTGCATTGCTGTGCGTTGCGTTGCATTGCGTTGCTTCGTCTTACATGGCACTGCTATACCGTGTTGTGCATTTCCCCGAAAACCACGTGGACAGCAAGATCAATCTAACCTTCATCGTCGTCGTCGTCGCATTATCCTTCCCCACTCCGCAAACGCGCCTTCCTCCGCTCTCGCTACACGGATCGCACTACATCGCCTGCACCACACAGCTCGCACCACATAGAGGAGTATGCTAGCTCCTACTACATAACCTGCACCTCACATATTACACCACGTAACTCGCACCACTTAGACGAATACGGTATGTCCTGCCACACCGACGGCACCACGTAGATTGCGGGGCGCGACTCGCAACGCATGGAAGAGTACGTTACCTCCTACCACACATATATATATATATACACATATCTAGCACCAAGTCGCAGGGACCACGTAGCTGACACCAACTATTAATCAAGTGTTCTGCCTCTCCCTGGAAGGATTTCCCATAATGAACAAGCCCTTCGCCAAGTAAGCAACATGTTTAACAGGGCGGCCCCCCTCAACCCCTAACACCAGAGGGTAGGGTACGAAAAGGGAGGGGATGCAACCTGAACAGCCGCCGTCCTCCTCCCTGCTGCTTCTTCTCCTCGCATCAGCCTGTCCTCCCATGCATGCGCCTGGACGTCGTCGGCCTTTCGTGCCTGTTGGTGCTGTTGTGCCCCGTTGATCCGGCTGAGCCCTTAACACTCTTACGTGGGGAACTCCGATCACATGTTTTTCGCGCGCGCGCTGAACGGACAGGCGCAGCAGGCATGACAAACATGCGCTCGTCACGGCTCGAGCTCTTATCAATCGGGAGAGGCGTTCGCTGCCCCGGAGGTGCAGCGATAGTCGAGTCCACTACCTACCAGATGGCGTCCAGGACATCAGCACACGTCTCGACGCGGTGCATGTGCGAAGGAACTGCGTGCGACCAACACGAGGAGGAGAGGGCCAATTAAGGTGTCATGCTCAGTGCACGGCACTGCTGGAGAAACTGAAAAATACATCGCCACCTTCCCAAGTGCCAGTCGCGCATACAGGTGAGAATGCCTCGCAGGTGCGCCAGTCCTTATTGAAGCACTCGACGGCATCATCGAAGCGCGTATTGAAGCGCGCCTCCGCGTTGAGGGCTGCTTCAAAACGCCCACGCATCGTGCCAAGCCGTGCCTGTAACCTGTCCGAGCTGAGCCTCGGCAACCAGGGAGGGAGTCGAGGAGAAGGGGCATGAGTCATGACGAGAGGTCTGGTCTTGCTGTCGAGGGGAGGGGGGGAAAGCATGGAGACGGGATTGATCCCCAGGCCAGCCAGCGTCGAAGCAGGCTGGCACCACCTTTCACCCTCCCAAACAGAAGCAATATCACTGACACGCACCGTAGTCGAGCTCCACGCCGACGTACACGACCCTGTCATCCTTTACGCCCCACGTGTAGCTGCCCCTCGTTCGCTCCCTCCTCACTGCCTGCACTGCACAAGACCTGAAGATGGCCCCTGCAGACTGCAGCCGCGCTCGCTCGCAGGGAGGCCTTTGGCGAGGGCCACGGATGCAGGGGAAGCGGGGGGGGACGGGGGAAAACGTAGGCGGGGAGAGGCCCGAAGACAGGCGAGGCCCGGACAAACCAGCTAGCGTCGACACTGGCAGCAGGCTGCGATGGACAGTAAAGGCACCAGCGGCCAGTCTCAAGGTGAGGCGGCCGGTGCAAAATCGACGAGGATGGCAATGATCGCTGGTCGACGGTCGATCTGAAGGCGCGGAACTGCAACTACCAAGCGGCGGAGCAGACGGCATACTCCCAGATAGAAGGAAGTACGCAAATAGACATAGACAACTTCAACACGGGAGAAAGAGAGAAAGAGAGAGAGAAACAAACAACACAAACTATACATACAACAATATAAGACTGCAGTGGCGCTTCTCGCCATGCACCTTGGTCCTTGAAGTTCGGTATGCAGGCGGAATGGCAGGAAGGTCGAGCCGACAATTTAGCAATAACTCCTTGTTGCCTTTTCCAGCATCGCCGCTCAAAATTATGTTATTCGTTATCCTCCCTCCATGCTTCTTTTTCCTCGTTCTCGCCATGGCCTGCGCATGTTCCCCATCCTCCTCAGCTCTTTTTGCGGAGGCTCCTCCTTGGAGAGCCTCTGGGGGCCTCACAACAATTTCAGGCTTTCTCAAGGCCTTCTGGAGGCCTCCTGGGCGTGTTCTGGTAGTTCTGGGGGCTTCCTCGGGCCACCCTGCCTCCAACCGCGGTCTCCCTGAACGACCGGGTCACGATTTGAAATGCTTCGGAGGGTGTCTTGGGGCCGTCTTGGGCCACCATGGGGCTCTGTTAGGGCCATCTTTGACTCCTGTTGTGCCGTTTTGGGGCTCTCTTGGACTGCCTGGAAGCCCTTTCGGATGGTTGTGGGGCGATTTTGGAGCCTCCCAGGCGGCTTCGGACGCCCAGAAGACTGCCGTATTGGAGCGTTGGGAAGCCGAAAAGAGGAGAGCCCCCAAATTCACCAAAAACCGAAACAACATCAATGATGTTTGCCTCTTGGGGCCTTTTTGGGAGTGCTCTTGGAAGCTTTTTGAAGCCTTTGGGGCCGTCCTGGAGGCCTCTTGGGCCATCTTGAGGTCACGTCGGTCACTCTTGGAGCGCTCTTGTGCTGTCTTGGGGGTCTCTTGGACGTCTCCGATGACCCCCCTGATCGCCCTAGGTGTGCTGGGAAGGCTTGGCAAACCGCCCTGCGAGACCCGAGGGGGTCGACCGCTTCGAGGCCCGATCCTGGGAGTCGTTTTTTTTTTGGGGGGGGGGAGGGTCCCCCCGCCTGGGCTTATAAAAATATAGGAAGAGGAATCTCTGTATATATATATATATGAATATATATATATATATATGTGTAGAGGGAGAGAGGGATAGAGAGAGAGAGAGAGAGACACAACAAAAGAACAGAGAGAGAGAGGGATAACGAAAGAGCGAGAGAGAGAGAGAGAGAAAGAGAGCGAGAGAGAGAGATAGAGAGAGATAACATGCGATGGATACGAACACGTACACATTCACACATACATACATATATGTATATGTATATATATATATGGAGAGAGCAAAGGGGATAAGCACACAGAGAGGGAGAGACGCAGTGATGTATACAGCGGGAGAGAGACAAATACAAAGAGAAATAGAGAGACAGAGAGAGAGATACGGGAACACAAACGAGAGAAAATGTGTGAGAGAGAGAGAGAGATTGAACAAGAGGAATGTATTCGCGAACCGAGCACGTATATTTACAAATATATAACTGCCGGCCGACGACGCATCCCGTTGCGTTGCCAGCTGACGGACGCCCTTGCTGCGGGGCGATGTTATAACGAGTGGGCCGCAGAGGCGGCCACGAGCCAATCCTCTGCGGGTGGCGGCGGAGAGACAATGGGCACCCCCCGTAAAGCAGGCCCGAGCCGGGCACGGTCATTGCCAAGGGCACCCTGGCATTCCTTGGCGCATTCGCCGACCCTCTGGTGTTCCCTCGGCGTGTGAGACGGCTGCCCCTCTCGGATGTTGCTCGCGGTGCCCCTGGCCCAATGCCCCCCCCCTCCCCCCCCCTCGGATTTCCCAGGAGGCACCCCCCCGGCCTCCAAAACACCCCTCACGAGGCCCAGAGGGCCTCAGGGGCTCCAGAATTTAGCGATAGGACCAGGGCACCTTTATCACTCAGATGCTTGATGCGGCTTCTGTATCGATGTTCCATGATGAATTATCTGGTGGGAAATCGGCTGGAAATCGGCTGAACATTGTAGTTCGCAATCGATTGACAATTATTTGCGCGGCGCGGGCGGGAGGGCGGCGAGTCCGGGGCACGTGCCAGGGGGTTGGGCAGAGGGCTGCGGCGCGGATGAGCTTGGATAACATGTTCGTTGGTTCGTAGAATGGTTTCGTTTTCTTTGTAGTCGAGGGGCGGGGGGGGCGCGCAGTGTCGCGAAGGGAAGGAAGAGGGGCCGGGAGGGAGACTGGGCGGAAATGGAGCGATGGGGGAATTGGAGGAAGGGTTCCGAAGGAAGGATGGAGGGGCGTGGAATGGTAATAGGCGGGGGATTGGAATAACGGGCCGCCAATTTATTTTCTACTTTCTGGTACTATCCTACTACATTCTACTTCCCAGGTGCATGAGCGAAGTAACCGCGAAAGGAAATTACCCAGCGACGCGCCCAATCAATCTGCAACAAGCTGGCGGCTGAAGAGAGAAACCGGACGATGTTTTCTCTGGGCCGAGTCAAGCCGCAAGCTGAACTCAGCCAGAAAGACTACGGATCAAAAGCGCAGTTTTCCAGACACACTGTACACGGCAGTCTGGCTCGTTCGCTCTCATTGCAGTCACAGACGAAGCCAAGGGCGCCATGTCTCTGCGCTCCTCCTCGGGAACTCGCTGCCAGCGAGGCCGCCGCTCAAAACGGGCACCCGTCGAACTCAACAACTCGCGCGCCGGGCGTTCCAGATCGCCACGAAGCGGCAAGCACATAAAACAAAATCACTATCACAACAAGCCTCGAGCTCGCCCTTTGTCGAAGCAGGTCCTCGAACAAGCTCGCCGGTCTTTCTTCTTAGCGCTCGTCCTGCGCAGCGAACTTCACTTGGGCCTGAAATGAGATCCCGCCCCCTCCAGGTGCTTCTGGATCACCCGGGCAGACAAAGGGCCCGGCGAGAGCGTCGGCAACGTTCTCGCGAGCGCCCACCTTCCTGGAGCAAACCCGCTTGCTGTTGACAGCGCGCTGCGCCCAAAGGAATCTTGTCATCGCGTGTTTCTGCCTGCCTGGCCCTCGTCTGCTTGCAAGAGCTATCAGGGCCGTGGAATCGCCGCGCACCTCGACAGGAAACTCGCCCTTCTTGGCGATAACCTCGACCTTCTTGTCCAAACCGAGGACCGCCACCATCGCTGCGACCTTCAAGCCGCCCGCGGCAGCTCGCAAGATGCCGCAGTGCTCCGCCTCGCCACGCGAGGGAGAGATCGCGCTCTGCAGGATGGCAGTGGCGGAACGCGCGTGGTCGCCAAGCGCCAGCGCCGCGCCGCTCGTCGACTTCGGAATGATCGGGCGCCCGGCGTAGTCAGAGTCTCACGCGGCCGAAATCGCGCCCGGCATCATCTGCTCATTGAACCTCGCGACGAAGAAGGGGTACATGACAAGATAACTCCGGAGCCGCTTCGCCATCACCATTTCAGCTGGGGTCGGCGCTTGCATGAGCCGTGAACACTGCTTGGCCGCGTCTACAATGTCGGGGCGATCCAGGGCCAGGTACAGGGCCAGGTAGGCCGCTCGCAGCGCGACACTCCTGCACCTCTGGGCCCCATCCAGCGGCAGGGTCGGTAGCCCAGCCTCGCGATCGACATCGGCATTGGTCTTCTTGACAGCAGGGGCGTCCGAGCCGTTGGACTCCTGCTCGAGGCCCAGCCCCATGATCAAAGCCTCCACGTGCCGCTGGTCCGACTTGATCTCCAGCGCTGGTGTGGAGACCGGCGCGTGGCGCAGCATCCGGCTGAGAAAGACAACCTCCTTGGCGTCGCCGTCCTCCGGGACCGGGATGCCAGTGCACTTGATATCGTAGCGCTCGGCCAGCTTCGCCTCCAGCTCGCCCATCGTCTGATGGTCGCCGAGCACCATGAAGTCGTCTCCGCGCACCAAGCCTCGACCTTCATCACTCTCTCTATAGATCAACGCTGGATTTGCCGCGCCAGTGCGCCACTCGTCTTGCTCATGTTGGCGACGCCAGTCACTCTGCCAAACCGACGCCGTATCCTGGGTGCCATACATGGAGCGCAGCAACTCGGCGCAGCCACCTACTTCCTCTTCGGGCAACCGCGCGAACAGGCCCCTCTGCGCCTCGCCGCGCAGGCGAGCCCGTCCCAGAACCCGATCTTGAGCGGGCGGCCCCTCTTCGAGCGCCCGAGCGCGACCATCAGGGAGCAGAAAAGTTTCGCGGCCTCGAGCGGTGGTGCGCCGCTGAAAAGCTCGCTCGCGCTCGTCTGTTCGGACGGCCTCTTCGCCGCTGTTAATCTCGTCGCAACCAGCCTGGAGCGGTGCTTCGCCCTCTGCTCGTCACCCATGTTGGCGTCGACCCAACGGGTCCGCAACGGCGGGCGCCGGGTCGCCTGGCGGCAGACCGACTCCTCGCAGGGCTCGAACGCGCCTCGATGCTTCATCCAGAACAGCTGCTCCTGGCGCGCCGCGCGCGCGCTGGCCCTGTCCAGCCGGCCTCCGTTCACGTCGCTCCAGTCAGCGCTGCTCGTCGGCGTCGGTGGCACCTGGCGGCGCGTCTGGTTCGAACGGCTCTACGTCCTCGTCCAGCACTGGCCCGGCACCGGTCACCGAGTTGATCTCGCCGAGCGCCTCGAGCTCCTTCTCCTTGAGAGCCTCCAGGATCGCCCAGCGCAGAAGGCGCGCAGGCCCGAGCCTTCTTGGCCCGGCCTCCGCCAAGGGGCGGGGCGCGCTGATGCCCGCTCGGACAGCGCGCCGAGAGCACCTCCGCGAGGCGCCTATTGTTAGCGAGCCAGCCCGTGCCTTCCATGACCAGGCCAACCTTGACGTCGCCCCCCGCCGGCTCCAGGCCCCAGGCGCGCGCGTCCCCGCGCGCGAGGAAGACGCCCGGCAACGAGGTCACCTCCTGGACGATCGGGTCGCCCCAAGACTTGGCGCCCCACGGGTGCTCGCGCAGGAACCGCCGGCCCTTGGCGTGGCAATCCTTGTATACCTTCATTCCAAAGTGCCAGGGCGTGCGATCCTCCTCCTCGAGCCTCGCGTGCTTCTCGCGATCCCTGTGCATGCCGCGGTTCAAGCTCGCCAACTTCGACGCTAGCGTGCACGGGGGCGCGCCCGCGACCGGGTGGGGGTCCTGATCCTCCAGCGCCGCCTCGTACCTCTGTCGTTTCACGACCTTCGTCGTGCACATCGGCCCCTGCGACGCGCGGCCCCTCAGGTTGACGTCTGCAACCAGGCCTGGAAGCGCGCCGAGCGCGCCCACCAGCTCTGCGAATCATCCAAGGTTGTAGTATTCCGAGAAGGTCAGCGACTGCAACTCGAGGGGCATCGTCTAGGGGGCCCATCTCTATCGCGGCGGGTGCCGAGCCTCCCAGGCCCGAGCCGTGCTCAGCCGCCACTCCTGGCGCCAGGATCGCACGCGGCGCGCCGGCCTCGCGCGGACCGGCAACCGGCGGCGCGCCGGCGCCCCCAGCAGAAAGCGCGCGCGGCGCGCCAGCGCTGCCCTCATCCACCTGCATCGGCCGAGCGGGAGCTCCCATGGCTGACTGCCACTCGCCGCTGACGGCTGCTCGTCCCCGCGTCGCCCGACTAGCGGCGAGGAGGGCCCGACTGCGGGCGGTTCGGCGCGGGCCGCCTAGGCCTGGCGCCTGCCTTCGGCGCCCCTCGGGGCGACTGGCTGGGGGGGCGGTGGCGCGGCCGCTGGTGCTGCCTGGCCTCCTGCTCCTCCTTCTCCACCTGCGGCAGCTGGCGCCGACACCTGTTCCTCTGCGGCCTTCGCATCGCGAAAACGACGAAGCCGCTCGTCGCCTCGAGATGCGAGCGCCTGGGTGACACGCGCCCTGCGCATCTTCGAATGGGCGACTCCCGCCTTGCTCGTAGCCGAAAAGTTCTCGCGCGCCACGCATCCCTCGGCGGGTCCGATGACGGCATCGAGGAAGTTGGCCTTCGTCACGTAGAAGCCAATCTCTCGCGACTCAGCGGCCGCGGGGACTGCAATCACCACCGGCGCGCCCGCGCGCCTGGCCCGCGGCGCGGTGTCTGCAGGGACTGCTGCAACTCTCTCGTCGCCGCCCTTCCAGTACCAGGGCTTTCCATTCAAGCCGAGGATCTCCTCCTCGTTCCAGGCCCAGGGCTCGTCTGACGGCAGCCGAGAGATCGCCGTGCCGCGCTGCGCGCCCTCAGCTGTGAGGACGAGCGCCGTGCCGCTCCTGCTGGAGTTCCCGACGTAGTAGCCGGTGATCCAGCGGGGCTCGAGGTCGCGCTCGAGGGCGTCCGTCGCGAGCTTCTTGACCGAAACCTTCTCGCCGAAGGGCTCCGCGACCTGCTCCCAACGCCAAGACCGACCAGTACAACCGCGGAGAACGGCGCAACAACTCCGAGGCTGAGGCGACGGTAGAGGCGGAGGCGGAGGCCCACATCTGCGTCGTGGAGGCCCTGACCGTCTACGAAAGATGGGCGAGGGAGCGGCTCTCGGGCTTCAGGGTGCACGACCCGCTGTTCGCGCACGACGAAGACTGGCTGGTGACCCGGGCGGATGTCCAGCGGGCGGCGATGCAGGCGGCGGTGGCAGAGGGAGTCGACCCGAACGACCTGGGCTCCCACAGCCTGAGGATCGGCGGCGCGTCCGCCCTGTGCGCAGCGTGCACGGATGCGGCGCTGGTGCAGTGGGCACGCTGGAACAGCGATGGCTCCCAGGGGTATCTCTGGGAGGCGAGGGACATGGCGCAGGGCGTGGCAAGCAGCATGGCGGCCGCCGACCTGACCATGGTCTGAGGAGGTGCTGGGCGGCGGCGGACGGGAGCCCAGAGGCTCAGTGCGCAGGGGCAGTCCCATGGGTTGCGGCGCGGGAATGAAGCTCGCGAGGCTTTGAGAGGCGCCGCTCGATTGGGCGCTGCAGGCGCCAGAAGATGCCAGGAGGGCTGGGTAGTGTGGGGCCAGGTCCCCCCTCCAGTGCTGGCGGGGGCTCCGGAGGGGGGCCCCGCGGCCCGCAGAGAGGCGGAACGCCTGGGAGCTCAAATGGGCGGTCACTGGCCCGCGCAATGCGGTGCCACAGAGCTCGCGCTCGGCGGCTGGAGGACAGCAGCGGGCGCCCACAGGCCACGAAAGATTGTGCTCCTCCCTTCTCGCCTCCGCCGCCGCCATCGCCGTTGCAGCGCAGCGCCTGAGGAGAAGGAGGTGAGGAGGAGGAGGAGGAGGAGGAGGAGGAGGAGGAGGAGGAGGAGGAGGAGGAGGAGGAGGAGGAGGAGGGAGGAGGAGGAGGAGGAGGAGGAGGAGGAGGAGGAGGAGGAAGAATGGCGGCCTCAGGGATGTGGGCGCAGACGCGCCCAGGCGATCCCAATGCGCCCGGGGCCCCGAGGCGGAGGGGCAGCGGGAAACTAAAATCATTGATAGTCCTTAGGTTTTGAAGGATTTTGGCTTTTGCTTCTTTTCGGCCTGCCAACGGCCCGAGACGGCCCAAGAGCCCCCAAGAATCGCCCCAAGGGAGCCCAAGAGGCCTCCAAGATGGCCCCAAGTAGGCTCAAGAGGCCCCCAAGACCGCCCCTGGAGGGCGACAAGACGGCCCAAGATGCCTTCAAGACGCCCAAGATGGCCTCCAACCCGCCCTCGGAGTACCATAAGAGGGCCCTCAGTCGGCCCAGAGAGGCCCCCAAGGCAGCTTCCGACGGCCTCTGACGGGCCAGGAGCTCACCAAGATGGCCCAAGATGGCTCTACGATGGCCCAGGACGGCCCAAAAGGCCCCCAAGAGGCCTCCAAGGCGGCCCAAGAGGCCTCCAAGAGTGCCTCCAGGAAGACCCGAAATAGCCAACATCATTGATTTTGCCTAGGTGTTCGAATGGTGTTGCGCTTGCTTCTTGTCGGCCTTCCAACGGCCTTCCGACGACCCAAGAGCCCCCAAAGATCACCCAAGAGGCTTCCAAGATGGCCCCAGAACGGCCCAAGAGGCCCCCAAGACCGCCCCCAGAGGGCCCCAAGTCGGCCCAAGAGGCCTCCAAGACGGCCAAGATGGCCCTGGAGTGCCCCAAGAGGGCCCTCAGTCGGCCCAGAGGGGCCCCCAAGCCAGCTTCTGACGGCGTCAGACGGGCCAGGAGCCCATCAAGATGGCCCAAGATGGCTCTAAGATAGCCCAAGACTGCCCCAAAGGCCCCCAAGAGGCCTCCAAGACGTTCCAAAAGGCTTCCAAGAGGGCCTCCAGGAAGACCCGAAGAAGCCAAAATCATGATTAGTTTCCAAGGCTTTTGAAGGATTTGAGAATTTGCTTATTTTCTGCATTCCGACGGCTCGAGACGGCCCAAGAGCCCAGAAAGATCGCCCAAGAGGCTTCCAGGACGACCCCAACACGGCCCAACAAGACGGCCCCTAGAGAGCCCCCAGACGGAACACCCTAAGAAGGTTTCCGTCCGATCGGCCCAGAGAGGCCCCCAAGACGGCTTCCGGCGGCGTCGGACGGGCCAGGAATGCCCTGAAACTCCAGAAAAATCATCCGAGAAGCCCCCAAGAGGCCGAAGGAGGCCCCCTAAGAAGCTTGCAAGAGGCTCCAAGGAAGCCCCCAGTAGGCCCCAAGCTTGCCCCCAGAACCTCCCAAGATGCCCCGTCCTTCTCGTCCGCCTCCTCTTCCTCCTCTTCCTCCTCCTCCTCCTCCTCATTCTCCTCTCCTCCTCCTCTCCCTGCTCCTCTTCCTCCTCATCCTCGCTCCTCCTCTGCTCCTCCTCCTGCTCCTCCTGCTCCTCCTCCTCCTCCTCCTCCTCCTCCTCCTCTGCTCCTCCTCCTCCTCCTCCCGTTCTTCCCCACCATCCTCCCCAAAGTGTTCCCCGAAGGGTTTCCACAACGGTTGGGGGAACACATGGTCCGATAGCTTGGCAGAGCTCTTGCGACAATGCTCGGACACATGGGCGCTTTCAAACCTCTTGCTCCCCCATGCGTTCCCCGAAGGCTCTCCAAACCGACTCGGGGAACAACTAGCCCGATAGCTTGGCCAAGCTCTAGCCCAGCTGTCGGCCACGTAAGCGCTTCCACAATGGCAGGGGGCGGCGGTGATTCGCCGTAGGCGTCTTCGATAATACCCACAGGGCCCCAGCTCAGCCCCCCCTCCAAAAAAACGCGCACGCGCCCACATAATCAGATGACAGCTCAACATAACCCCGAGGACCGCCAAGGTGCTTTGACCGCGTCTGTAAATGCGCTAGGAACGTCCCGGGTCGGCGGCACAGGCCGAAGGCTTCTACAATGAGGGAATCACTACGGGGTGGCGTTGCTGGAGCAAGGCGGCGAGTCACCAGACCAATGGAACTCTGAGGACACCAATCGCTCGGCCACCTCCTTGGTCAACGGGTACCCCTTTCGAGACGAACCGAGGAGGTAAACCCACGGAAGATGCTCTCGGTTTTCGGCGCGAAGCTTGCGACTCGACAGGAGATCCACCACAAAGTTACAAAGCCCTTGGTAGCGGGCGCGATGAGCCACCAATCTCGACGTCGGCTTGGCAATTACCTTCTTCGCGGCCGAGCCACTGGGCGAGCTTTGCAGCAGCCGCGAGAATGCCTCCGCATCCGCCGCCTCCCTGAAATTGACATGAAAGTAGCCCTTGTTCTGGTGGCTCACGAAGTTTTTCGGCACGTGCAAAATGTCGAATGTGTTGATGAAGCCGGATTCTTCGAGCATGGCGTACACGTCGTCCCTCCCGCACTGCGCATGTATTCCCTTCACGATAAGAGCAGTGTCGCCTGCCCTTAGCGGCTCCTCACCCTCGACCTTGCTCTTTTTGCACCTCGCCTTGGCTTTCTGACGCCGCGGCTGTTCTGGGGGCTCTGCGCTGTCCCAGTCCTGCACTTCCTCTTCCAAAACGCGGGCCCACTCCTCCGTGGCGTAGTCCGCAGGCAGGGGCTCTCGGGCTTCTTGCTGATCGCGCGCCCGCGTCATGAGGTAATACAGCAACGCGTCCGACTGCCCTGCCAACGGTGGCTCGGTAGAGAGGATCGACTGGCTCATACCCGCGGTGCTGGTGGGCTCCCCGGGCGTGAGCCGGCTGGGCGGGCACTCAGGCTGGGAAACCATGTGGGGAGGCGTAGTCACCTCAACCTCAGCCGCAGAGGAGGCCGAGTTCTGCGGACAAGCCTGGAGGTGATCCTCGGTGCCAGGGGCGCCTCCGAGGCCATGAGGCCATGAACCTGTGGGGATGGCGGTCGACCCCGACCGTGCCATGGGCTGGTCCGAACGCATCCTGTGCTCCTGGAGCTGTTCGGATATGTTGATGAGGTGCCTCTGGACTCCGCTGCAGTTCACGATGATGTTCCGCGCGCCAGCGGAGTCCTTGGCCAAATTCAGCAAGGCCTGAACGACATCGTTCCTCAATCTCGCCATTGGGGTCTGTGGCCCGCTGCTCATGTTGCGGAACGTAAGAGCAAAAGGCCTCTAAAGAGGTTTATGGCTTCAATCGCGGCTAGGAACCAGGATCTCCGAACGAGCCAAAACGTTTACGGACCGTCGTGAAGCTCTTTAGGGCTGGCGTGCGGCTCTCTTCGGCCGTCTTGGGGTCCTGTTCAGATTATGTTCGGCCGTCTAGGGGCAAAGCCAACTGTGCGAACATCACAATACAGGAAAGCCATATTAATGCTTTTAGTCTCTTGGCGGTCTCCTGGGTGTCCTCCAGGGGCCATTTTGGGAGCCTCCATGGCTGTTTTGAAATCATCGTGGACCGATTTAGAAGCTATCTTGGGCCATCTTGGCTGTCCGGGGAACTATTATCGGACGTCTGCAATGCCATCCGGGGCCACCCTAGCGTCTTGGAAGCCACCTTGGGCCATCTGGGACAAGGGCCGAAGCACAGGCGGAGTTCAAAGCACAGCATTCCATGGCAACCTGTGGACTCGAGGGGGTTGACCCGTCCTGTGAGGAGAGGTCCCCCCCCCTGGGTCTGGGCGCCCTCCCTCGCGGTCGCATAGAGCGCACATGTCTCCAAGATGGCTCCAGCTAGCCCAACATGACCTCCGAATGGCGCATGGTCGAAGTTCCTCCTAGACTGGCCATCGCTCGGACGTCCATTCCCTGTGCTTTTTTCGGTTTCGGGTGTGGTTTTTTCGCCAAGTGATCAAGGATGCTCCTCGATGGTCCTCGCAGAAGGAAGAATGCACACGTCCAAGCGATGCCAAGTAGATGGCCTACACCAAACTTTAAATGGGCGCCTAAACCGCCAGGAGACGGCCATGCGTGGCCACGGAACCTCCCGAAGGTGCCTCCGAGAGGAAAGGCGACATGTAAACCTGAATCCTATTTCGCTGAAAAACACATTCAAGGCAACACCGTGGACGATATAGCACAAAGGCGTTGGAATGCATCAACTTTGAAATGACACACAGCGCAACGGAATTTAGCGCAGCGCTCTGGACTAGAACGCGGCGTTGAACATGCAATCGATAACTACGCAACGCAATGCAGAACAGTGCATTGCAGAGAGAGGCAATGCGAAACAATGCGCGCACACACATACTCACGCACGCACACATGAATTGCAACAACACAACACATGCAACGCACCTGCAAAAATAACAGAAACCGTGCTGAAGTGCGCAGACATAACGAAAATTCAACCCATAATCAACGCAATCACAATGCCAACGCAGTGCAGAACTTTTGTAAATATCCAGCACTATAACGCGAACGTGCTGCTTTAAGATGCAATGAACTGTCGTGCGACAAGACGACGTGGTAAATCTCAGGATGCATTGTAATGCTATGTGCTGTGCTATGCCATGCAAGCACCATGCAACCCTACGCTATGACATGCATGATCGAATACCCTTCATTATCACAGAGTGGGGATCATGAAGATCGAACTTCGGGGGAATGCTAAATGTAGCGTCCCGGCAACTCGTATGTACGCAGGTCGGGATCACATTCTACCTCTGGGGGCCTCGGAATCCTCTGGCGCTCCTCGGGAAGGGAAGGGGTAAGAACAATGGTAGCAGTAGTCGTAATGGTAGTAATAGTACGGGCAGCCGTAGTAGTACTAGTATTACTAGTAGTAGTGGTAGTAGTGGTAGTAGTAGAAAAAGTAGTAGCAGTAGTAGTTGTAGTAGTAACGGCAATAGTAGTACTCGTAGTCGTAGCCGTAGTAGTAGTCGTACAACTAGTAGTAGTCGTAGTCGTAGTAGTAGTAGTAGTAGTAGTAGTAGTAGTAGTAGTAGTAGTAGTAGTAGTAAGGGTCGTAGTCGTAGTCGTAGTAGTAGTAGTCGGTTAGTACTAGTACGAGTAGTAGTGGTAGTAGTGGTAGTAATAGTAGTTGTACGTAAGGCGAGTAGTAGCCGTAGAAGTAGTAGTAATAGTAGTAGTCGTCGTTGTATTAATAAACTTTAAAATGGTAGAACCAATGGTAAAAGTAGCAATCGTAATAAGAACTCGACTAGTAATAGAAGTTGTCGTAATAGTGATAGAAGTAGTCGTAGTAGTGGTAGTAGTAGTATTGGTAGCAACCGTTAAGGTATTAGTAGTAGTCGTAATAGTATAGCAGTAGTAGAAAGAGTGAAGGGAGAACCAGTAGTAGTAACAGTAGTAGTAGTAGTAGTAGTAGTAGTAGTAGTAGTAGTAGTAGTAGTAGTAGTAGTAGTAGTACCAGCAGTCGTCGTCGTAGTAGTAGTAGTAGTAATAGTAATATCAGTAAGAACGGTAGTAGTGGTGGTAGTTGCAGCCGGGGCAGAAGTAATAGTAGTAGCATTCGTGGTCGGAGTAGTAGTAGTAGTAGAAATAGTAAAAGAAGAAGTAGTAGTAGTAGTAGTAGTAGTAGTAGTAGTAGTAGTAGTAGTAGTAGTAGTCGTAGTCGTAGTCGTAGTCGTAGTAATAGTAGTAGTGGTTGTCGGAATGAAAGATGTAGTGGTTAGGGGTAGGTCGCAGAAGTAGTAATACTAATCGTAGGACTAGTAGTGGTAGCAATTGTTGCTGATCGTACTTACTAGGTACTAGTTAGTAGAGAGTGCCCACTGGTTGGTAGTCAAGAGCTTCCTGTAGCAGCAGCACGCTTAGCAGCAGTAGCAGTAGCAGCAGGTAACGGAGTCAGAGTAGTAGTAGTAGTAGTAGTAGTAGTAGTAGTAGTACTAGTAGTAGTAGTAGTAGTAGTAGCAGTAACAGCAGTAGTAGTAGTAGTAGTAGTAGTAGTAGTAGTAGTAGTAGTAGCAGTACTAGTAATAGTAGTAGTAGTAGTAGTAGTAGTAGTAGTAGTAGTAGTAGTAGTAGACGGTGTAGTAGTAGTAGTAGTGGTAGTAGTAGTAGTAGTAGTAGTAGTAGTAGTAGTAGTAGTAGTAGTAAACGCTGTGGTAGTAATAGTAGTCGTAGGAGTAGTAGTAGTCGTAGTCGTAGTAGTAGTGGTGGTAACATCAGAGGTATTAGTGCTAGCACTAATACGAGCAATAGCGGTAGCAACAGTAGTGGTAACAGACGTGATAGCAGTAGTAGTCGTACGAGTAGTAGAAGAAGTAGTCGTCGTAGCGATAGTAGCCGTACGAGTAGTAGAAGAGCCACCGTAGCCGTAACCCCTACTAGTAGTAATGGTAGTGGTAGTAGTAGTAGTGGTAGTAGTAGTAGTAGTAGTAGTAGTAGTAGTAGTAGAAGTAGTAGTAGTAGTAGTAGTAGTAGTAGTAGTAGTAGTAGTAACACTACTACTACTACTACTACTACTACTACTACTACTACTACTACTACTACTAGTGGGAGTTCGAATGACAGTAGGAGTTGTAGTAATAATTGTAGCGGTAGCCGAAACAGCGGTGGTAACAATATGTGTAATAGTAGTTTCGGTAGTAGTCGTAGTCGTAGTAGTATAGTAGTAGGAAAAATAAAACTAACCAGTAGTAGTAACACTAGTAGTCGGGGCAGTGGCGGTAAATGTAGTACAAGCGGTGGTCGTTGCAATCGTAGCAGAAATGCTAAACGTAGTAGTCGTCGTCGGTGTAATAATAACAGTTGTCCCCGTCGTAATACTAGTTGCAATGGTTACAAATACGTCGTAGAAGTAATAATAATAATCGTAAGACTAGTAGTGGTAATAGTTGCCGCTGATCGGAACTGCCAGATACTAATTAATAGCTAGTACCTACTGGTTAATGGTCCAGAGTTCCCTGTGACAGCAACTACCTTAGCAGCAGCAGTGTTAGCAACAACGGTGGCCGTTGTAGCAATAGGAATAGCAGCCGCAATAGTGGTCGTCATAGTAGTAACTGTCGTCGTGTGAGTGGTGGTAGTAGTAGCAGCAGTAGTAGTAGTAGTAGTAGTAGTAGTAGTAGTAGTCGTAGTAGTAGTAGTAGTAGTAGTAGTAGTAGTAGTAGTCGTAGTAGTAGTAGTAGTAGTAGTAGTAGTTGTAGTAGTGGTGGTGGACGTACACATTTGACTACTGGTAGCAGTAGCACTGCGAGTTTTAGCAAACTGACTGCATACCACAATTGTGAATACTAGCGCTAACGCTGACAATAGCCATGAAGTAGTCGTCGTAGAAACAGTACCAGTCGTAGCATCACTAGACGTGGAAGCAGTATACATAGGAAGCACAAGAATAGCTGGTGGTAGGTCGTAGGTAGAAATAGTAGTAGTAGAAGTAGTAGTAGTAGTAGTAGTAGTAGTAGTAGTAATAGTAACAGCAGTAGTCGTAGCCGTGGTGGTATTCGCAGCAGCAGTAGCAACAGTAACAATAAGAGTCTTAGGCGTAATAGCTGTAGACTTGTGGTCGTTACAGTAATAGAAATAAGATTCGTAGTAGTAGCAGTAGTAGTAGCAGTAGTAGCATAGTGGTAGTAGTAGTAGTAGCAGTAGTAGTAGTAGTAATAGTAGTAGACGTAGTAGTCGTAGTAATAGTAGTAGTAGTAGTAGTAGTAGTAGTAGTAGTAGTAGTAGTAGTAGTAATGTGGTATGGGCAGTAGCAGTACTAGTAGTAGTAGTACTAGAAGTGGTAGTAGTAGTAGTAGTAGTAGTAGTAGTAGTAGTAGTAGTAGTAGTAGTAGTAGTACACGTAGCAGTCGTAGTGGTAGTAGTAGTAGTAGTAGTAGTAGTAGTAGTAGTGGTAGTAGTAGTAGTAGTAGTAGTAGTAGTAGTACACGTAGCAGTCGTAGGGGTAGTAGCAGTCGTCCTAATAGTGGTGGTAGTAGTGGCAGTAGTAGCAATAGTAGAAGTAGTCGTCGTCGCCGTAGTAATAACAGCAATACTACAAGCAGTAGTGATGGTAGTAAGTCGTAGCCGTAGTCGTCGTAGTAATCGTAGCTTCCCAACAAGGGCAGTCGTAGTAGAATTGCGAATGGCCGTGCGAATAAAGATGGACACGCAAGAAAAATAGTAGCAGTAGTGGTGGTAGTGGTAGTGGTAGTGGTAGTGGTAGTGGTAATGGTAGTAGTAGTAGTAGTAGTAGT